GGGAAGTTTGAACGGGGAGCTGGTGGGGGTGTCGGGTTGTTTTGGTACGGTGTAACCCTACCGGCCCGAGGGGGGATGTGCGCCTGCCCTTAAAGTTTATCCTCTTTTCTCAGTGAAAAGCACTGGGAAAGTCGCTTTTGGTCTACTTTCTTAGAAGGATTTGGCAGTTTTCAGGGGGAAATAAAGAATTTCGCTTGGGTTCAAATTCCGTTGAAGCCGTGAGCAGAATGAATATGTGGGGGTGTGCCTCAGTTTCAGAGGGGTTGTCTGAGAGGGGAAGGCTGCCTGACAGGGACTGAAGATCTTGGTCAGGTTAGGCCAGAGCTGGTGGTTCAGAGCAGTGGAGTCAGGTTATGGCAATGAAGGTGCAGAAGGAGCCAAGCCATATGGTGTTTTGTCTGATGTCTTGTTTGTACTGATTTTTGAGCGTAATCTTTAGGATGAGCTAACCACAAAACAACGTCTGGGGTTTGTTGAGGAGAGAAGTGATCTGTGTCAGCTGCAGCAGAGCCAGGGAAAAAACTAGGAGGAAAACAGTGTGGCCGATCCAGGGTCCAGTGCTCAAGCGCAATTATTAGCCTGGTTTTATTCAGTTGTATCAGTGGACCTTGCCTGTCTCCCATGTTCTTGACCATGACAACAGTACTTAAAGATGAAGTCTTCCACTGGAGAAGGAAAACTTAGCAGAGGATTTTTTTCTCTATATATTGGCAGGCATGTTTCTAATAAAAGTATGTGTTTTATTAGATAAAAATAAATATTTATTTTATTTTATAAAAGATAAACGATTAAACACTTTGCAGTTCCATCAAACATTTCTACGTGATGTGCCTTTCCTTCTCTTTGCAGATTTTTTTTCTCCAGTGTGTAGAGACAGAGTACAGGGCTTTGGTCCCACCGTGAACCCTTTCTGACTAAATTGTAAGTTATGTTTCTGATGTGGCTGAGTAAAGGTTGTAATCAGCGTGGTGCCATGAAACCCAAAAGTTGAAATTAGAGCAGCGTGTAGATTTTAAATAAATAAACCCTAGTTGAAAGATGAACTAGCTGGTAAACAGCCTTCCTTTTCTCACTTCAAAGCATTTGCCATCATCATAATTCTCACAGACTAATGAAGCTCTTACTCGGGGCAGAAAGAACAAAAACTGTTCACAATGGCTAGAATTTTTAAGGGCTGCTGCCAGACCTCTAAAAATGTTTTGAAGTTTTGCGGTTTTTTTTCTTGTGCAGGAACAGATGTTGTCATTGTTAAAAATGGCAGAAGAATATGTGGCACGGGAGGCTGCTTAGCCAATGCACCTTTGCATCAGAACAAGAGCTATTTTGAGTTTAAAATCCAATCCACAGGTTAGTAAGCAAAAATGTACAACTTTGGTTGTCAGACTGCCTGCTGGTGGTTATACCTAAAATATGAAATACATGCATCTTTCTAATTGCATTCATGAACGTGAGAACATTGCAGAGTTTTATAAGTTGTCATTGTATAAAAGGCAGTTTCTCCTTTTTTTTTTCCTAATTGTGGCTCTGAAATATTACAAAGAATGGTAAGTATATTACTAAAGGAGTGCAAATACTAAAACGCCATATTTTGTATGCTGTTATATTGTAGAATAGAATCGAATCATAGAATGGTTTGGCTTGGAAGGGACCTTTAAAGGCCATCTAGTTCAAGCCCCCTACAATGAGCAGGGCCATCTTTAACTACATCAGGCTGCTCAGAGCTCGTCCAAGCTGACCTTGAATGTCTCCAGCGATGGGATATCTACCACCTCTCTGGGCAACCTGTGCCAGTGTTTCATGACCCTCACTGTGAAAAATGTCTTCCTCGTATCTAGTCTGAATCTACCCTCTCTTAGTTTAAAACCATTACCCCTTGTCCTATTACAACAGGACCTGCTAAAACGCTTGTCCCCATCTTTCCCATAACCCCTTTTAAAGTACTGGAAGGCTGCAATAAGGTCTCCCCGGCGCCTTCTCTTCTTCAGGCTGAACAACCCCAACTCTCTCAGCCTTTCGTTATAGGAGAATTGTTCCATCCCTCTGATCATTTTTGTGGCCTCCTCTGGACCTGCTCCAACAGGTCCATGTCTTTCCTGTGCTGAGGGCTTCAGAGCTGACATAGGACTCCAGGTAGGGTCTCCCCAGAGCAGAGTAGAGGGGCAGAATCACCTCCCTCAACCTGCTGGCCACGCTTCTTTGGATGCAGCCTGGGATATGGTTGGCCTCCTGGGCTGTGAGCACACATTGCTGGCTCATGTCCAGCTTTTCCTCCACCAGTATCCCCAAGTCCTCCTTGGCAGGGCTGCTCTCAGTCCCTTCATTCCCCAGTCTGTACTGATTCCGGGGTTGCCCCAACCCAGGTGCAGGACCCTGTGCTTGGCCTTGTTGAACCTCATGAGGATGCACTTGATCCCACTGTCTATAGCGTTGATGGAGATTTTATTAAAGAGTACTGGTCCCAGTACGGACCCCTGAGGGACGTCACTCGTTGCTGATCTCCATCTGGATGCGACCATCCAACCAATTCCTGATCCACCCAACAGTCCACCCATCAAATCCATCTTTCTCCGGTTTGGAGAGAAGGATGTTGTGGGGGACTGTGTCAAAGGCCTTACAGAAGTCCAGATAGATTACATTGGTGGCTCTTCCCTTGTCCACTGATGTGGTTACTCCGTCCTGGAAGGCCACTAGGTTAGTCAGGCAGGACTTGTCCTTGGTGAAGCCATGCTGGCTGTCTCGAATCACCTCCCTGCCCTCCATGTGCCTTAGCATAGCTTCTAGGAGGATCTGTTCCATGATCTTGGGCACAGACGTGAGGCCAATGGATCAGTAGTTCCCAGGGTTCTCCTTGCTACCCTTTTTAAAAATGGGTGCAATGTTTCCCTTTT